CGTGCCTACTGGGTGTTGATGTTTCCCCGCGACAAACCAGATAAATGATAAGAAGCAAGACGTCGGTTCGATGAACCTTGACGCGCGTTGCGCAAAAGACGACCAATCCGAAGATGACGGGTGTCAACGCAGACAAAACACCGTTGGGCGTTCGAACGCTGCTTGGCAGCTCGGAGCTCTGCCTCCTCATCTTCAGCATAGCTGAAATCCATTGGCTCTATCCCGCTGGACGATCTGCTAGAATGTGCACTCCAACCATATCGTGCCGACTTACAGTAGAGTTTGGCATTCGATGCCATATTCACTGGTTCTTCAAAAGAAGACGGGTGCACACGGAAGACTTCCATTTCGGCGACGCCAGTGCGGAGGCCCACCATAAAGACGGTCCGTGTGACCGCCTCGGGAAGAGGATCGGCTACCATACCGGCAAGGAGAGTGCGCAACTCTTGGACAAAGTCCGATACTTCCTTCTTGCCTTGTTGGGCGGCAAGGAAACGCGATCGCACGCGATATTCCTGCTTAGGCGGCGAGAATACTCGTGATAGCTGCAGCTTCAGCTCCGCCCACGAGGGAAACGCCGCTTCAACCGAAGTGCCGCAGCTCAGTGCCCATTCTCGCGCTCGACTCCCGAGCTAGGAGATAGCTAGCGCCACGCGCTGTTGCTCGGTCTGGAGCATGGCGGACGCCATGGTTATCTCGACCTCTCTCATCCAGAGCAGGAGATTCTCTCTATCCTTGCCCTCAAAGGTCTTAACACTCACCATGAGCGGCTTGGGCTGGGGGGAGTCATATGTCGTGGACGGTGGCGTCATGGACGCACTTATTCTGCTGTGGGTGCTCTAGCAGAGCATTTTCATAGCTTGAGAACGCCTCTAGGCGCGCGTTGATCGATTCAGGTCTGTTCGAAGTGAGGTATTGCACGCCCTCATGATCAAACAGAGACAACAGCCCTATAAGCCCGTCCTGCATGCCCTGGGGCAAATAAGAGAACTACTCCATCCTCACAGAGAGTCAGTGGTAACGACTTAGGTGTAGATTGATTACAAGTGCTACCAAGTGCTGCAAAGCTGCCGTTGCTCTTTCGCTTAAAGAATGCTGGGTTAAAGTCAATAATCGTCGTTTTATACTTAGAACTAGTACGAGTGTTGCGAATCGCAAACCACTTACTCCAAGAGTAAATACAATCTTGAATCAAGGCTAATTGACTCTTCTGTTGAAAACATAAACTTCATTTCACAGTTATATTTGCGACAAAGCCGTCTTTATCTAAATCTATAGGTTCTCCCAATTAAATAGTAAAACTAGTTAAATGCATAACCACTGGCAGTCCAGCCATGTAGTGGCTTCTTTTTAAGGTGTTGTCACACAATTGTGTGGTCACACCTTCTTGTGTGACTCACCCCTTTTACCAGGGTACGTGTAACCCCTTACACACATGGTCTATGTGCCTAGTGCCTTCTCATGCAAAGTATATAACTTGAACGCCGCTTCCCTCTTGAAAAATCTCGGTATTTATATAGGCCGTAACTCGGACTCATGTTGAATGTGTCAGTACGTACAGTTTAGCTAGAACGATCATGCTATTCCGTACCAATCGTCTAAGCCCAGGCGATATGATTGTTGCGATTGCAATGCACGTGATCTCTTACGCTTAAAAGGCTAAAAGGCAGTCTTCCTCCGAATTAATTCCTTCTCGTACACCAACCATGCTTGGTTAAGTGTATGTACCTTACTTTGCAAAAATTGTGCACATCAAAGCGCATATTTCAAAGCGGTTTGAGATGTCGGTGATGCCGTTGGTGTTGTTTTCAGTCAAATTGTTAAAAAATGGTAGCAGGGACTCGACAGGGCCAAAGATATGGCGAAGATGAAGGCAATTTCCTTTAGAAGCACAAAACGATTGTGTCAGCTGCGAAGGCTCATACTGTGTTTTAATGGATGTTTGCAAAGGATTTCGTGGGACATCCAGGCTCAAGACGGTGAACATGATATTTAAGGTCAAACACGTACCAGCGTACGAGGGCAAGTGCACATACTTGTTGGAACCGATGTACGACGAAGTACATATAGATGTGAAGTGGTTTAAGCTTTTCGCAGCTAAAATTTTGATCTCGACTTCTCGGGAATATTTAAGGTTCCTGTAGATATCATGCACAAAATATTTACAAATTGCGTTGACTTAATTACAACTTGACATCGACCTTTCAATCTGGCTTTCTCAAAAGATTAGAATTGCACCGCTCTATTCTGGGCTGCATAGTAAGAAAAAAGAGCCAGAGACCCCAAAAATTCTAACACTAGATAGCGCACACAAACATTGTGTAAGTTAGTACGTTTTTATGTTTCTATTATTATTAAAATTTGTGTGCATACATTAGCCACAATGAAATTTTCTTGTAGTGTTGCTTTCCATGCCTTACACCAGTTTAGTGTGTAAGGTTGCCATCGTCTGGGGGGAGGCTCCACACAGTAAGTGTGGACCCGCGGTGGACTTGCTTTTTATCATGATCAAAGAACGGGTCCATTTCTGAGCCACAAAATGAAACGCTGCTCTTCAGGAGAGGGAAAAAGAATCCCTCGTCTTGGATAAAGATGTTAGAGCAGAAGCTTGGTACTCTTCATCAAGCCATTATGAATTCCGAATATCCGCCGGTTTCTCCTGATTTTGAGCTCGTTAAACACATTCATTTTACTTCTGACTGGACGTGTTGATGTAATGAATGTTAAGACCAGGAAGACGGTCTCTCTGGGAATTAAACGATTAAATCGATAAGAATGCGGCTTTAGCGGTCATACACTTACATGAATAGAGACCGCGGCATTCTTTTGCTATATTTAAGTCCAGGCTCTTTTATGAATTCATTTGTAAGTGTGAGAATGTGTCTATTGATGATCATCCCTTTTCGGAATGAAGGGTTTGCTGCAGCAAAAGAAGCGCTTAATTGAAAGTAAGAACTGGGAAGACGAAAAAATTGAGCGTGGAGAGTTACGTATGGTCGAACGAGTCAAACAAAAAGAAGAAAACTAAGAAGAGAGCAAGAGAGATGGAATTTGTCGGGAATGGAGCATTACCAAAGGAAAGTGATGATGGATCTAATCATCTACGGCTTTAAGAAGGGCTAGTTACAAAAGGTGCTCACTTTGAATCATCTCTCAGTAGATGCTGTGCCTTAATGTTCGAGCGAGGCATACGTTTATTTACCATTTGATCAAATCCAGCAAACATGAAACAAGTTTCCATTCTGCAAAATAAATTTTCTCTCACCAATCTGTTCGCAGATAAGCTGGCCTTTGATCCTGGAGAGAAACATCGGAAAGCTCGTGTTCTCCGCTCTGCGGCTTGTCGAACTGATATATATCGCTGAGCTCTAACAGCATCTTCGGCACCAATGTCAGTGGCAATTACAGGGATTCTTGCTCAAGAATGAGTTATTTAGTCTAGAGAAGACAGAATTTGAAATCATGAGAGCAGCGAGCTATTCATATGAGGCAAAGATGTTGGGATATATTTTGTTCAATTCCTCAATTTGTGGACCGTGTTTTGCCAAACGCGCTGATAGCTGCTACCAATAAGAGAAACATGTTGAAACATTGCTGACGTAATGAACGTGTGTCCATTCATCGTTGAACGTATCACAGACAACGACATGACCCGATTGCTTAAGGTATAGTTAAACCATTCTCCGATGACCAGACGTTTGATAGCATCAAATACATGGAAACTTGCGCTCTGAAATCGCTCCTTTTTTCGGAGCTGGGGCACGTATCGCATGTCTCTTAGGATATCAAAAGAGAAACGGGATTTTCTGTCCGAGTCAAGGAACAAGTGAGCATACTGATGAAGCCACACCCGATATTATGAGCGATACTATTGTGGATCTTAAAAATTCTAGTCTACGCTAGCTGTAAGAGCTAAACACTTACAGAGAGGCATCAATAAGTGAAGGTCAAGAATATATCCTGAATTCAAAGTAAATTCATGCAATGATTAAATTCAGTAAAGGTACTCAATGACTGATCACATCTTAATTCGGATAGCATACTCAATGGACTCCTGGTTGGATGGAGCAAGGCTCGACACGATTGCGCCTTTGACGCTCGCTGCTTTAGAGAATTACCATTTGGGACTTGATGCATTTGTTGAAGAAACATAGATTAAGAGTAACAGCAGCTTAGGAATGCAATCTATAACATTATAAATACACCTTTTATATCATGTTTATTCCGAGCATAATTTAATTGTGATTTAGCGTGCGTCAATTTTATCAGGACATTGGTCATGATAAATCTCTAAACGGGACTAAATTACTATTGGCACCAAAATACAATGGACACGGAGCTGGAGGCCAACATCAAACAGGCGCTACCGAGTGCGCTAAAGATGGCTTTGTACGCAGCAAAGAAACAACATCTAGAGATACTGAAATACGCAATTGAAGGCGTGGACTCGTTATGCAATAACGCAGCGTTTTTGAAAGACCTGGACGACCAAGAGCACCTGCAGCAATTGGGCGAGACGGCCAAAGGTTTTGCCCTGCTTGAGACTCAGCTAACACGTTACAAGACGCAATTGGAGAAACTCGAGCCATTCGTAGAGACTGGAAAGCTGGACCAGACGAAGATTAATAACGTGCTGAAGAGCGCATTGGCTAAACCGCGTATCAATGCGACCAAACATGACTTCTACAAGAAATTTTGCGATAAAGCAGGAGTACTTCATTGATGTCATCCTTCTCAACAATACGTAAACCTTGGAGTAACTAAACCGTACCTTGCAGATTGAACGTGCGGTAGACGGCGACGAAGATGTGCTGGTTCAGGAAAGCGAAAGCACGAGGAGCACTATCTGTCCTGTCACACAGATGGAGATGGATGACCCGTTGCGAAAGTGCGAATTGTCGTGTAGATTATTACATTTCAAAATAGTTGCTGATCGTGTAACCTGCAACAGTGCAGTCCAAGCTGTGGCCACACGTATTCAAAGAAAGGGATTCAGGCCCACTTGCAGCGCAGCAAGAAATGCCCAGTGGCAGGTGTGGTTTGGTGGCTAGGGAGAAGTATAAAATGTATCGAGGTACTAACAGATATCCAGGTTGTCCACAAGAACTATTACTCAACAATTTGGAGCGCGATGTTGAGATGGAGGTCATCATTGCTCGAAGGTACATAGACTCACTTCTTAGCTGTGCCGATTGCTTGTAAAATTAATGTTATTGTTGTGTCAGGCTCAGTCGCCATGCTTCAGAGCAGCAATGGTCGCATGATGCTGTTGCAATGGCGGACGAGGATGAAGAAGACGAGGAAGAATACGTTGTTGAGTAAACGAAGTGCATTGAAGTGTAGGTTGCAGAAGCATTTGTACTGCTTCGTCGTTAATTTATACAAAAGTATCAAATTTGCCTCGAGCGAACTTGACGTAAGGCATTTTCAATCTGATTGCTCAGTGAGTATGAGTTTGCGAAGCCTGATTACCTCTTTCAAAGGTTAGAACAGAAGGTAGATCTATATTTATAATTGAGACAAGGTTGCCGTTTTGGGCTCATATAACGATCAAAACTGCAAAGATATTCTAAAATTCATGTAGTAGAAGAAATATACGGCTCGAGAAACTTAACAATAAATTAGGAGTAAATATTATTCATTGTACATTTGGGAACAAAATGGAGCCAAAAAATCAAACAAGGCCTGCAATATTTTGATAAGATGATAAGCATCGTATCCAAAAGACGCTTTCGCATTCATTGTAGTGCTTCCAGGCGATTCATGATGTACCCAAAAAGACCGCAATAGGCTACAACATGATATTCCAGATATCATTCAGGTCCGTATGATGAGCCTACAACTGCGTAAGAAAAATTGTCTCTTAAAAATGTAAATACACAGAATATAAGAGGAATATCTATTTCGTCGGCGTACTATAAACTTGCATGATTTATTATTATGTTAAGAACAGGTCATACAGTGAATTACTATTGCGCTCTATATGCGTTGTACTGGTAATCAAGGCAGTTATTTCTGATCTCGTGGGTTTCCTCGGATACGACATGACGACCAGCCCGTTTTATGTATGTAAAATTACTTTTCAGCACCGTCCTTTAAAGTTTGAAGCTTAAGCTGAATGTAAATCCGCCATTGCAATTACCACCAATAAAACTACTGGTGTAATTTTGCCGGTGAGTGTTTGACATCACTGACTTGCGCTTTGTCATATGTGTCGTCAATGCATCGATATCGTTCGGTATCTAGCGACAGATCAATTTTTGTTTACTTTAATCTAGTCCTGCATGTCCGTTACTTACAGAGCTAGAATGCCTCAAGTCTTTATTTCGAATATCAGTCAATTCCATTTTAATAAGGAAATGCCCGTAATGCATTCTAGAATATTCACGTGCTTCTTTTGCCACAAAAACAGTGCACCCGTTAGCTGTTGGGCTTCAACACATCATGGATGCATGTGGTGCGCGTCGTGGGTCGACTGAGCAGATAAGCGGTGAAGGTTTGAACAAGTAGTGTACATTGTGCCAATTAAAAGAAAGCTACAAAAATGCTAACGATCTTTAAGTCCAAGTCCCGTGCTGTGCTCACCGCTCTTGAGAAAGACTGGACCGACATATGCACATGTCTTCAGCGCATGCCGATTTAAAAGCAATTGTGCCACGCTGGTCGGCATTTCGTCCGTTTGCGCAAGTGATTCTGTGCACTGAGTTTGCAGAGCCCAATCTGCTGAGTCGAAGCGTTGCAGTCGCAAACATCTAAGTTGCTCTGGCTTATCGGCTAGGCCAGGCTCTGGTTCATGCTCCAGATCAGTTCCATCCGATAACGTGCACTTGCCACATGTGCACCCAAGACATGGGCCTGAGACCCGCTGTGCCATCTCGTAATCAGCCGAGTCGAAGCGCTGACGTTTGTCATGGTGGCGCTGGATGATAATGGAGGCCACAGCGTGCGGACAGTCACCAACAAGCTGATGCTGGTGATCGGCCGAGGTCTCCGAATGATTCGCCATATTAAGACGGGTGGTGATGGACACTGGAAGACAAAAGGCGGAATGCCGTAGCTATATCAGCCAGTTAATGGGATCAGTAGCGAAGCCGATTTTTTCACCTCAATTGCCACGTATTATTAGAGCAATGTGGTGAAACCGCTACTGGTAAGTATTTATTAGGTCTGATGCCCTGCAAAGACGTGTGACGATAGTGTACCGGTATTTCTGCCATGAGATGCTTTATTTGACCCGTCTAAGTGTGTAATTTCGGAGAAGGGAAACGTGCCTACGCTCATAACCTTACAAAAGAGGAACGTGAATGGGACGCATGCATTGTGACTTGAATTAGAGCGCTGATTATGAAGACAGATCATTTACTGACGGATGGGTATAACATGTACAAATTTTGAAGGATTTTTATTTTGACGTTTCTGCAATAGAACTTGATGCAGTGAAGTACAATGATGCCTGCGTACCACATTTCCAAGAGCGTTTACAGTTTATCGACATAAGTACCATCCTCCGTGGACACTTTGACTTTGTTGCCGATCTCAATAAAGAGCGGAACCTTGATTACGGCACCATTTTCTAGTGTCGCATCCTTGACGCTCAGTGCTGTGTCTGCCACACCCTTCGGAGTAGTGTTCTAAACCCAACAAATATTTAGCTCGTGGGTACAAAACGCCTTTTACTGCACATACCGTCACTTCTAGCGTCACATGCTCGGGCATTGTTGCCCATAGCACATCATTTTCGATGATTTGTAGTGACAATGTCATACCATCTTGTAAAAATTCGAGCTGGCGGCCAGAGAATAGGTTACGATCAATCTCAATCTACCCACGACACCACATTTCAACAATTATTTCTCCGACCTAGCGGCTCCAACACGAACAGAAAATTACCTGCTCGAAAGTTTTTAGGTGCATTATAACCAAGTAATTTCCATTGTGGTAAAGAAACTGGTAAAGCTCATCAGGGCCAAGTGGTGCCTTATTCACGGTCTCTGCAGCTCGAAATCGGCAATTCCTCTTGAATCCAGTTTTTATCTCCTTCAGCTCCGCCTATAGCATATTCCATAAGTTTATTTATCTTTCACATCAAATCCTTCACGTCGACGAACTTGAACGTAAGCTCCGCCTTTGCCGGGTTTTACATGTTGACTTTTGCCCACGCGATAGATCCTGCCATCAATTTCAAGTGCCATACCGGCTCGCACTTGATTTCCTAGTCAAATACCAACGTATTGTCATTTTGACAAACAGACAGGAACGTTATGTCGCGTGCTTGAGCGCACCATTGATCGAGGCAAAGCGCTTGCCGTTGACACGAACGCGGGCAGTCACTCGCGCAATTTGCGTGATGCTTTGCCACACCATTAGTGAATTTTATTGAAATTTTTTGATTCGCGGTATCACTAGTTACTGTCATTATGATAATCAAATATTGTGAATAGCTGTGAAATTTAGGCCTGGATCGCTATCAGGATAGTATCGAATAACTCATCTTCTTACAGGCTGGTGTCAATGATTTTGCCATTATTTAGGGGTTTGAGACTGTCAACTGGCAGGTCTATTACCTTGTATTGACACAGATAAATTTTAGATACATTCGAAAAAGCATACACATTCTGTTTAAGAGCGCTTCTTCAAGCTATAACGGTTTGCGCTCATAAGACGTTGTTGTTTCGTAGGGAAGTCAAGCCTCGTTAAAAAGAAATTAGCAGGTATTCTATCGAGATTTCGAGCACTCTAGGTCACATAGTATATTTTACTCAAAATTGACTGGATGTGGGCAAATCAGCTCGATTCAGGAATTTGGTAGGCATCCACCAATAAAGCCAAGAAGCGATTAGCACATGACAACAGGCGCTGGCGTTTTAATGTTCCAAGATCCAAAGGCCAAGGACGAAGCCGACTGGTTTACCAGGAAAGTAGTGCCTGACAATAGTCTTAGCTATCGACATTGTGTGCGAGCAACTTAGTTTTTCGATAGCAAAGCTTATACACTGTAACTGTAGTATTCTTTACCACTGGTAAAGTGTAGCAAACTTACTAAAAAGTTATGAGGCCAATTGCAGCGAGCTGCATTACCTCTTTTGCTTAGAGGAAGCTTCATTAGTGTCGGCGACCTTCGTTCTAAACTTAGAACCAGTGCGAGTGTAGCGGATAGCAATCAGCTTACTCCAAGAGTAAGCACGTCCATAACCCAAGGCTAACTCACTCTCCCGTTGAAAACGTAAACTGTATTTCTCGGTTTTATTTAGGCAAAGCCGCCTATATCTAAAGTTATAGGGTTTTCTATGTATATAGTAAAACCGACTTGAATATATAACTACTGGCTGTTCCTTCCACGTACTGTTTTCTTATTTAAGTGTAGTGTCGTCACACCATCTTGTCTAACCCACACCCTTCCTACGAGGGTACGTGAAACCTCGTGACACTTACCCCATCAAGATTGCGAACACCTTCAGTTCATATTCAGATGTCGCCTCGAACGACCCTCGCGTGGGGATCTTCTTTCATTTGTCTGCTTCATGAGCCCTGTGACAAGGACAGGGAAAACACCCAGCCTCGCTGGTTCCGAGAGCGCCAGCGGGCAGAGCCTTACTTCGCCTCCTGTACGCAGTGCAACTCCCGACAGCACGTTCGCGGCTTTGAGGGAAGCGCAGTCCATACTCTCAGTAACCGAGTTCCGCGCTTTATGCCCGCCCCGGACGATAGATTACCTCGTCGACGATTCGGAGGAAGTTGACTACGAATCGGATACTCCTTCCCCAGGATGGGAAGAAGAAGAGGGTGAAGTGCCTAGACGGCGCGACGCATGACCTTCGTGTGGAAGACGGCATCCGCTCGGCGGACCCCGCTACAGCGCAAAGGACGCAGTCACTCGATCGTTGGGCGTCTACGTGATCGGGCCTCCGGCCAATACATAAGATGGGTTTGACGAACGAAAAGATCTTCAAGCTCGCTTCTAGGTTCATCAGAATTTCCGTTGGATACGTACTGCTTTCGATTTCGTTACTAAAGATGAGGCGCTCCTGTACCTGCGGTGGCGACGATGTCTGTGGTGCTCGTCTTTGGCGAAACCGCTGCAGATGACGAAGAGCTCTTTGAGCAATGAGTGTAGCGCACCTGAAACTTTCCTTGATGTACAGCTAAGAGCTGAGCCACAGGAGGGTGGACGCGCGCGTGGAACGCCATCTTCGATTTGAGGTTGCCAAACTCAAGGCGCGCCGCCGACTTCCTCCGGATTGACGCCCTGCGACGTATGGGCTGATTCATCACGCCCCCGCGATTTCTGTGATCTCTTACACGGGTGACGCTGCAATCGCAGCAGCACAGGGTCATAGCTTGAGCTCAGCACATGGCCCTTCGTCTTCCCTGGCTATTGCCGAGCGTACGACGACGCGGGACGTCGCGATCCCTCTGACCATAAGCGTCCACGACGCCACGAACAGTCTCGCCGAAGTGGCACTTAAACTCAAACGAGCTCTCGAAGTCGGGTCATCCCCGCCACTAATCAAGATCAAGATACTAGGTTTGACCCTGACGACGACGTCGACCCTCAAGATGTTCCACGTGATAGTGGACACTTCCATTCTCGTCGAGAAGAGTCGACGGCGGTCGATGACGGCTGGGACAATCGCCGCCCGGCGACTCGCGATGCTCTTCGAGCCCTTGAGGATGAGGTCCGTCGCAATTAGGATTTGCTAAATGTCATGCTGGGGTTGCATACCACTGCGCGGAAGTCCTCAAGAGCTCGGAGCACGTTGTACACCGGCTGCCTCACGTTGAAGACAGTCGCGCTCTGTCGGAGCAGCTCCTACTCGTTGAACAGACGAATGCGCTGCAGAATGTGAAAATGGAGCGCTTGGTGCCGTTGGATATAGAGATCGTTGCATTCCGTGCTCAAAACCACTTGCTGGTCCAGCTTCTGGGTGGTCGAGCGACAGCGAACGCAACTTTGGCGCCAATGCTTCCGAGTACACTTGTGCCCGATCCGTGTACAGCTTGAGCAAACCCACATAAGATACCGGGTGGGTGCGAATCCGTTTCGTAATGGTTCGGCGTATACGCAAGGTCCCCCTTGGCCACGACATTAAAAAGTCCGATAAACCGTGGACAAAGCTTCGTCTTAAGGACAGCAGAAATTTCATGGCTAGGAAAGCTTTTAGCATCTAATAAAATCAGGTCTCCGACCTCAAAGCTTTCAGCAGTACTTCTGCTTCTTCCATCTACATATTCTCTCTGCGTGTCTTGGCTTTTAGCTATCGCATCGCAAAAGGGTCGTAAGACACCCAGTCTGGTAGACATGAAGTCATCGACGTCTTTACGAACCGTGAGGGGGCTGACATCAGCTAGCCACTCGGCTTTTCCTCCCCCACCAAGCTGAACCATGGGGTGGCGGCGTCAGCGGGACGCGAGGATGAGCGGGCTCGTTCACGTAGAACAGCATGTAGCCAGTAGATGAATGCACTGCATTGATCAGAGTGAACTATAAAAGCGGCAACATGGTGCTTCGGCCACTCGAAGTCTCTGTGCAGATGTTGCGAAGGACGTCCTCGACAACGCGATTCACGCCCTCAGTTTGACCATCGGTCTGCGGATGGACCATCATTAACATATCCAGCTTGGTGTCCAGCACCTTGAAGATCTTCGATCAAACCTTCCTGCTGTACTGACACCGTTGACGGTGTCCGATACCGCCGCAAGATGAGCCATCTTGCTCAAACGGTTAACGAAGGTCACGACACCCGTGTTACCCGCCGAGTCCATCGGCAAGCTAGCCACAAAGTCCAAACTCATGGTCCACCAACACCCGTAGGGTACCGGCAAACTGGCCAGCAGCGCCGCCGCAGTCAGAAAGGGTTTTCACCCTTTATACACATCTCACACGCACGCACATAGGTGCTCGTCCATTTGAGAGCCACCTGTCCATCCTCTGCAAGAGGTGAGGCGACTGAGTCGCAGCGCATAGTGACGCATGATCTGTGTTGATCACGAACGGCTTGAAGCCGAGCAGGTGAACCCGGAACTTGACAAGTGCATACTTCATCGCAACTAAATCCCTGACGTGAACTGAGTTATTCTTCTCTGCAGTCTTGTGCCGACGAGATCAGAACGCGATCACCCGATCTTGCCATGCTTGCAGTAGTGCACAGCCGATGGCAAAGTCCAAAGCGTCACGGACGACACTGAAAGGACGGTCAGAGTCTGGAAACGCCAGTTTTGCTGCATGACGGAGGCTATCTCTGATTCCGTTAAAAGCCTCCTGATGTTCGGGTGTCTCAACACCATTCCGCATCCTTCTTAAGGAAACTATTTCTGCGTAGTTCTCGCTGTACTTGTTCAAGTAGTTGGCGGAACCGGTCAGTCCACAACGGCCTTGACCTTAGCGGCGTCCGTTCGAAAACCACGCTTCCCAATGAAGCACCCTTGAAAGGGGATCTCTTCAACGCCAGAGATGCACTTATCTGTATTAGCATACAGCTTATTCGTGCGCATGCAATCGAACACCGCTCGTAAATGGACGATGCGGTACTCTTCATCTGTCCTCCCGTGACCCGCACGACTGTGGACGAAGATGTCGTCGAAGCATGTCTGTGTATACGGTGGACCTGAACAACTGCGTCACAAGACGATTACATGACATCCCTTCACGCATCACCAGCCACCCCCAGAGCATGCCGCCCGGAGTACTTACTACTGTCAAGGAAACATTACGATCTCTCATGAGCAATTGGTAATATCCATCGACCAAGTCGAGTGCACTGTACTTCGTACATCCAGCCATGTTGTTCTAGAGAACGTCCTTCCTAGGAATTGATGTCGGTGCCAGAATGGTGGCAGCGTTGAGCTTTTTGAAAGCGCAAACAATACGCCACTCGCCGTTAGGTTTCCGGATAGCAAAATATGGGTGTCGAATGGGGAGACTTGATCTTACGCACCATTCTTGCGTCGCCCTTTGGGTAGGAGACATTGACGTGTTACGCAGTATTTGGTTCCTGAAACTAGGTCGACTTCATGGCGCACACCTCGGTCCGGACGTTGGTTCGACGGCGGGTCTTTATAGACGACGTCTTCAAACTCCATCACCAAAGGATAGTACGGATCCGAGGGATGCTTCAGGATATAAGATCTCCTTCGTGCGCTTAGCACCCTATTGGTGCCGTCCAGGATAGCTTCATCCATAAGCGACGACGAGTTGATCTCTTCTTTCGGTCGTGTAATGACCACTTCGGCTAAGTCGCCCGCCTTAAAAGCACCGCCGAACTCTTCGAGAGGCATCTCGTCCAGCTCAAGAGAAGCATTCACCGTAGGAATAGCCTCGAGGTGGTGTCGCCGACTTCCTTCCCCGTCATAACATTGGCGAGGTCGTATAGCTGTGCGCTATCGTCTGCGGGAGACAAATCCTGTGTCAGGGTCGACGCCCGGCGTCTTGCAGTTAGCATACGGCGTCACTGTATCTTCACAGAGGTTGCAAGTCTCGGTGAGACCAGTGTGAGTACGCACTCAACGTCGTCCAGTGTTAGCCCCACTTCCTGCTCCACCGGAGCTCTGCTGTTATTAAAGCATCCGACTCAGAGCTGCTAGCTCCGCAGTTTTCGTCCAGTGGATAACGTGCCACTCCACGCGCTTCTGAAGGGCCTCGCCATCGATGCCTCGGCCCTTGGCGGACCATACCACGCATGGCATGCAGCAACTACTTCGCTACTCGAGCAGCGCTCATTGGGTTGAATGCCGCTCCACGTTCACGGGACACCTGTCCGATACAACTTTGGTGCTTACTAACTCGGATATTCCGATCTCCAGCACGTTGACTGTCGCGATCTCGTGCCCGCACCAATAGCGTTTTCGCCTCCTAGCAGAATTTGGTTCATGACTCATCAAAGCCTACCAGGAGACGTGCGCATTGCGCCCAAGGTCCTCGACCTCCAGTCGATCCGTGGCTCATGGTGTTCAACCATGCCATACCAAGGATGATCAGAACTTGAATTCAAGTTTAAGACTCCGCAGTGTTCCACGCTATCAAAGTCAAGAAACTTGACACCGAGGTCCACAGGGACCTTTGGCACCGTGACACATGTCCCCGTCGCTGAGCAAACATTGACAATGTCACTCAACCGCGCCTTCAGCGTCATAGCATACAGCTGACTTCCTTCCATCGTGGAGCATCGAACAAAAAATGCTTGACACCCCGGAGTCGATCAGGATCTTTCATGGCTTTCCAAAGCCCTTCACGGTCTGTCGCGTCCACGTCCAGCAAGCCCGGCTAGCACGCACGTTCCGTGTTCAAGAGCGCGAAGCTCTTCAGGGCTGGGCCGTGCTGACCTCTACCTCCTTGAGGCTCAACATAACTCAGTTCTTTCCCAGTAGGGTGCCCCGCGCCTACTGGGTGTTGACGTTTCCCCGCGACAAACCAGAAATATGGTAACAAGCGGGACGTCGGTTCGATAAACCTTGACGCACCTTGCGCAGAAGACGACCAATCCGAAGATGACGGGTGTCAACGCAGACAAAACACCGTCGGGCGTTCGAACGCTGCTTGGCAGCTCGGAGCTCTGCCTCCTCATCTTCAGCATAGCTGCGATCCATCGGTTCTGTGCCGCTCGACCAACAGTTAGAGTGTGCACTACAACCAAGTCGTGCCAACTTAAAGTTGAGTATGGCATTAAATGCCACATTTGCTGCTTCTTCAAAAGAAGACGGGTGCACACGGAAGACTTCCATTTTGGCGACGCCAGTGCGGAGGCCCACCATAAAGACGGTCCCTGTGACCGCCTCGGGAAGAGGATCGGCTGCGATACCGGCAAGGAGAGTACGCAACGCTTGGACAGAGTCTAATAATTCCTTCTTGCCCTGTCGATTTGCAAGGCAACGCGATCGAACGCGATATGCCTGCTTAGGCGGCGATCATACTCGTGAAAGCTACAGCTTCAGCTCCTTCCAGGTGGGAAACGCCGCTTTAACCGAAGTGCCACACGTCTGTGCCTATTCTCGCGCTCGACCCCCGAGCTTTAAGATAGTTAGCGCCACGCGCTGTTGCTCGGACTGGTGCATGACGGACGCCATGGACATCTCGACCAGAGCAGGACATTCTCTCCATCCTTACCCTAGAAGGTCATAAGACTCACTATGAGCGTCTTGGTCGGGGGGGGTCATCCGTCGTCGACGGTGACGTCATGGTCGCACATATTCTGCTGTGGTAACTCTAGCAAAGCATTTTTTTGGCTTGAAAACGCCTCTGGCAGGCGCGCGTTGATCACTTCAGGCCTTTGCGAAGCGAGGTGTTGCCCTCATGACCAAGCAGCGATATCAGCCTTTTAAGCCCGCCCTGCATGCCCTGGGGTAAATAAGAGAACTGCCCCATCCTCACAGAGGGTCAGTCGTAACGACTCAGGTGTAGATTGACTACAAATGCTACCAAATGCAGCGAAGCTGCCGTAGCTCTTTCGCTTAGAGAAAACTTCGTTAAGGTCAGTGATATTCGTTCTATACTTAGAACCAGTACGTGTGTAGCGGATCGCAATCCCCTTACTCCAAGAGTAATGACAACCTTAACAGAAGGTAACTAACTTCTTCGTTCAGATCGTAAATTGTATTTCTCGGATTTATTTGCGGCAAAGCTGCCTATATCCAAATCTATAGGTTTTCCTATCCATAGTAAAACCTACTGAAATGTATAAATACTGGCTGTTCCAGCCACGTACTGACTTATTGTTTAAGTAAAGCCACATCATTGTGTGGTCACATCATATTGTGTAACCCACATATTTTTTCAACCCACACCATCGTGTGTGACCCTGTTACACCAAAGTATTCTGCTGTAAAATCCAATTATAGGTGGCTACTTGCTAGCAGCAACTGTTATGTACGAGTGAAAGTCGGAGCCAGAAGCACAATCACTGTGTCTAGCACAAAACTATTGGTTTTGTAATATTTTTGGGACTGACTCAAGCCGTCAGATAGCTAACCAGATACGCCGAGGTCGGCCCTGGTCGAGTCAGCGCTCGTAAAAGAAGGCATTGATTGAGAAGAAACGCCGCCCAGGCGCCAAGCGTGTCACAAGAAGCATACTGCAAATGTAGCAATAAGATTGCGGGTAATGTAGACCGGTTGAAAATTAAATCTGGCGTAGGGTTTTGTAGAGAGAATGACCGTGGCAACACGTGCAACCGCAAGTGTGTTCAATATTGAAAGGAAGTTGAATAAAATCATATCGACGCGTAGATATTCTAACATGGTCTTGACACCAAAATTCTGCCACGAGTAAATGCTTGGTAAGGCGAATACAATTTGCAGTGTGCCAGTGGAAACAGTGGCAAAAGACCTCAAGGTCAACATAATCTAGCCGGAATAGCAAAATGTTACTACAGTCAACAGGTCAAAGATTAGTGGTAAGAGTTGTTCCTGCTAAAGAGCGTAATGTTGTGGCCACAACATCAAGATCTTTGCTTCAGCGAAACACGGCAAGAGAAGCTGGATGAAGAACTTCCTAATCCAGTGACAGCATACGAAGCGTGCAAAGCGTGGACAAATTTTCAAGAAAATGTGTAGAATTTAATAAAGATTGTGTTTCGAAAGTAAGAGCAAGATGGCATGTATCGTTTTTGTTGCACAGATGGATAGGGTGTATTACAGAAGTGAAGTATCTGTACACGGTCAGTGTGAGCTGTGGTGCTGTAAATCTATTGGCCGATGTAAAAAAGGCCCAATATCAGCCAATTAGTCGATAACGGATATTCAACGGAAGCAGTAAGTAGTGAAAAGTAATGCTGTGAAGGAGGTGTGCATGGATCGAAGTGTCTCATGCAAGCGCTCAAGATACGGAATGGTAAATTGGCTATAAGCGAAATGCCCGTGCTAGATCAAGCGTTTTACTAGAAAGGCATCTGATTGAACTGAGAAATCGAGCCATTCTTAGCCACTAAATACTTTACAGTGATCAATCAGTCCCTAGCAAATGAAATAAGCATGCTAAAGGCTGCTTCAATGAGTGTATGGCGACAGATAGACGATCCATAGAGGTGATGAAATGGTTAGGTAACTTCGACACTAGTCGGTACATTTCCATCGAAGGACGATACTCTAACATCAAGATGACCAAGAGTCGTCATCGAATACAACACTCACAGAGCAGATTTAGGCGAGCAGATAGTGTGTGCATAAGATGATCATTCGTAAAATCATCAGTCAGGCAATGACCGCCTTTGCCATGGAGAATGGTTTGCTGTCCTCTTCTTGTACGTAAATTCCGGTTCCAGCCACATTTAACTAATAGAGCCTTCGACAACCTTAACACGCACGAGATATAATTACCCACCATCAACGTAGCTGAAAGATTTATTTGCTCGATTAGTATTGGCAAGGAATAGACAGGTAAAAAGGGTAATGATCACTTTCATTGTCGATAGATCTAACGTTGGTAGACAAATTTCTGGCGACCACCAAGATGCGGCAGCGCATAAGTCAGCACATTTCATATATTACTTTAGGCAATAGTTCATCGTTCATCTACCACTGATGAAGGCGTATATATAAACATCGGGCTTTGTTTTGCAAGGCTTAAGAATTGGCAAATCAAAAAAGTGAATCGCGTAATCAGACAAGCTCCGCAAGAGAGGAAGGCACTCTACAATATTAGCCATGTGCAACAGCTTGTGGACTGTAACGGGAGTTCACGTGCCCTGGTATGAAGGGTGTTGGTAAATGATCACAAAATGGTATGGGCTGCACAAGATGGTGTGACCACACAATGATGTGGCTTTACATAAACAACAAGTCAGTACGTGGCTGGAACAGCCAGTAGTTATATATTTCATTAGGATTTACTATCGATAGAAAACCTACAGATTTGGATATAGGCAGCTTTGCCGCATTAAAAAAACCGAGAAATACAATTAACGATTTAAACGTTAGCCTTCGGTTAAGGTTGTAATTGCTCCTGGAGTAAGTGGATTGCGATCCGCTACACTCGTACTGGTTCTAAGTATAAAACGAATGTCACTGATCTTGACGAAGTTATCTAAGCAAAAGAGATACTGCAGCCCTACTGAATGGACCCTCATTAGTTTCTACCGAGACGCGGCAGAATAGGCAGTCTACATTCTAAACCAGTTCGCCTCCGAAGCTGATTCAGACTGCAAGTCGCTGTTGCGTCTTCACGTAGAGCGCATCGGACCTGAGACAAAACGTGGTATTTGGATCACCGCTCACAATGAATATTGCCGCTCGAAACAAGTCGCTAGGTGATAAGTGTTGTGTTGGCTGATATACCAATGGAGGGCTATTAGAACATTCAGCATAAATGTCAACAAACAAATGCACCATGTAAAAAATATGGAGACTATGACAGATGAGCAAAACAACAATTTTGAAAGAACATGCTTTTGAATATGAATGAACGATGACTTTTTAAGGCCAAAGATCTCAACAAGAAAAAGTAGCTAGTAGGATCGACATTGAAATTGCTAGGAAACGCGAAGAATAGAACGTGAAGTTATGATCGATAGCGTTATTATCCGATAATGGATTGAATCCATCAAATTAGAATAAAGCGATGACCAGTAGGCTGGAGGACTAGTGGGCCGGGGTGATGCGGGTGGAGGTAGCCATCTCTAAAGAAATGGAGTGTGGGGAGTGGTGTGGCACGGAATGGTAGTCCCGCACAAAACGGATGTTAGAGGCCAAAGTTGAGCACAGGTGGCCTGATTGTACATAGGAGTCAACCATGATAGTATGCAAAATCAAACGCGTACATGCTGTTGATATAAACTTAACTCTGTTTGTTGTCGTGGTATTGGCAGTAGTCAATGTACTTCTGATAGATTCGGGACGATAGAGTGTATCGGCGAGGCGGGAGAGGCGAAACATGTGAGTTTTTGTTTGAGTATACCGAAAAGTATGGCTACTGATGACATGGAGCTTCAAATGCAGTAGGTGATGGACAAAGATAAGTAGTGTAGAAGCTACCAACGCTATATGGGTCACACAGGTAAGCTGTAAAAATAGTTATTGAATTCTAAATTGGTTGATTCGGCTTTGCACAGGACATTATGTACATCTCTTTGTGATCCAAGTAAAAAAAAGACATGACTATCGCGTGTTAGAAGGACGGCTTTCAGCACACTTTGCGCGATCGAATTTCCGGACCATAGGACGACGTGATTGCGCACACGATGACGCGACATGATAACGCACACGATAACGCGACATGATCGCGCCCACGATGACGCCATAGGAAAGGCTA